CTTCACCCAAATTCTAAAGCATTCTACAGCAAAAAGTCCAAGGACATAACTAAATTTTATCGAATGCTGCTTATTCAACTTGTTCTGGTGGACAGATTTTCAAAAACAAGAGTACTTTAAAGTATGTGACACTGAAGTCTTCACTACACACCTAAAGTCAAACTGGCTTTGGATTTCAGTGCACCAATGGGCCACCTGGTTTACCCTTATCACATGATCTTTCTCATTTGCAGTGTTCGAAATACTTGATCTCAACTAGACCTAAAATTTCTTTAGGGAATTTCCATTTATTTTGCCTCCTCTTCCACCACACTGTGTGTTTTGATGAATAATTTCTGCTGATTAATAAAATCTACTTTGAGGAAGGAAAACACTTTTTCCTTATTACTGATCTCTGCTGTCATTCACACTCCCTATAATCTATTCCTCATCCAGTACCAGAGGGATTTCTGTCTGACACATAGGGTATTATTTCACCACTCACCTTAAAACTCTCCATTGGCTTTCCCATCACTCCTACAATGCAATTCCAAACTGTTAATATGGCCTTTAGGACCACAACATAAAGTCTTCAACTTTTCCTTCTTCCAAGTTCCTCTTTGCTCACTAAGCCTCTGTCATTTGGTTTTTCAGTTCCTTAAGCTTCTTGCCTTGGAGCTATTGTATTTGCTCTCCTCACATGAGGAAAAATCTTCATGTGTCTACTTCCTTGCCATCATTAGGATCTCATCCCAAGCATCAGCTCCTCCTGACCACAGTGGTAAAGCAGTCTCTCCCTCCCCTTCTAACCCAACACTGCACCTCCTAACACTTAGCACCTGGGATTCTCTTCCCATTCTGCAATCAAGCTTCTACATATCTGCAGTCTACCTCCTCCACCAGAGTAAACTCTTCAGTCCTGCAAATAATGGGCTGACCAGCTAGCTAAGCAAAGTCAGTAGAAGCAAAAGAATGAAATGTAAAAGCAACGGAAAGCTAACTTCCTTGATAATGTTAGGTATCTCATATACATAGGAGCACACGGAGCGAGATCAGAGGAGCTGCTATGGTGCATCAGAATCTATTTCATGATTAAAATATCTTAAAAATTAACAATCAGAAGGTTTCCATATGCAATTAGTAAACTGGTAACTAAAAGCATATATATTTTAAAATTCCATAGTGTGCTTCAGTGTTGTGCAGTGCATTTTCATGTGAAATCAGTTTCCCAACTGTCAAGCCACATGTCAAATTAGGGATCACTTAGCACCTACACTGGTTGTCATTTCTACATTTTCAAATAAAGTGCTCTGTAATACAGTGTTTCTCATTCAATGATCCTATGCTTCTATACATGGGGCTTTAACTTTTTAAATGTTCAAAAAGTTATTTAAAAAATTTGGGTTGACATATTTAAAAATAAGGAACATCGTATGGCTGTAAACAGAAATAAAAGGAAATGGGGAAAAGCAAGAATAGATCCAAGGATGCAAGGTGAACACCTTGTCTGCCTCCTGAGTTTTTTCTTCAACTGTCCGCGTTGCCGACATCTGGTACATCCCCTTCATGGACAAAATATCCTTGAAAAGATGGTCTCCTTTTCTCTATTGTTTTAAACAGACATAATCAACAAATAAGACACATACATTACACCTACAGCAACACAAACACAAAACAACTGTGTGGGTCAGTGGAACAAACTAGATGAAGCAGACACAAAGGAGGGCCAGATCTTAGCACATCAGACAGGCTTTCTCCAGAAAACGCAACATGCTAGAGTAGGTTGCTGAAGCTGACATTACCATCGGAAATTAGAAAACAAAAACGTTTTCCTCTGACCCTTCCAATGTTTTGTTTTAAATATTACTATTTTCAAAAATTCTGTTTTTCAGTTCAACAATTATGGAGACTCATCTGTTCTCAAAGAGCTCTATTTTCCCTTCAACGTTATAAACTTAAAAATGTGAAACAACTAACAGGTTTGCTTTTTAAGGAAAAGTAAATAAAAATAGCAATAGACTATCTAAAACAAAGTCTACCATTTGGCAACATTCAAGCTACACAAGACACTGAAAAGAGGAACGATGAAATTGTAGGGTAACATGTTCATACAATTTCTTAAATTCTAGATGGAACACAATATGATCACGTTCTCCTTCAGTATGATAAATGAGCCCATTGAAGTTATTGTCAACAACAGAAGGGGCTTGGGAGTACTGGAGAAGAACAAATATTAACTGGAACAAATGGAGAAGTATTCTGAGAATACATTTTAAAAGCAATGCTTCTATTAGTGGTGGGAAGAAGTAATCCATGTGAGGAGAAAGACAACAAGTACAGAGAGCTGTTATGGTTGAAATGCTCCGAATAAAACATTACTCCACATTCCACTGCTGGAAGTTGCAGTATTTTCTTGCATTAAATATAACATTTTGCAAGTTTTCAACAGGGCTCATTAGTCATTAAAGCCAAGTTTTAACTCATTATCCTCACAGTCATTATCTGAAACCACTCTAAATGTCAACTGCATCCCTTTAATTATTCTTTATTTATTAAGTAAACTTTCTTATTTCAGAAATCAGTAACCAAAAAGCTTATTAAATATAATGTTAGTTTCTGAGTTGTCCTGTGTTAACAATTCATTACTATTAATTTACCAGAGTAACATAGTGGAATTGCCCTGAAATTATTTTAAAAATATTCTGAAACTCATACAATTGACCTAGGAACTAGGCCAATAAGTATTACATTGTTAATAAATATTTAGTATTTTAAAAATTATTAGCAATTACACAAAAACATTACATGGGGATATTTTGTAACTTCCCAAGAATCAATATAGGATACTAACAACCTGAGTTTTACTGAACAGCTGGAGTAAGACATACAGCCAACAAACAGCTAGTAACATACCCCTTGTGTCTGTAGGGACAGAGGTGTGATACGTCGTTTTTCCCATTCATTAGGGCGCGGCTCGGGTGTGGATTCCATAAAATTGCGCTTGAGTTCACTAATGCTAGCCTGATGCTTCAGTATGTCCTCCTGGGCCTTATCCAGGTCCTAGCAATATGTAACGTAAGGGAGGGACAAAATCCAAAAGGAAAAAAAAAAAAAAACCCAGTAGGACAAAAATAAAAAATAAGACAAAGCAAACTTATGATTAAAAAAAAAAAAACATAGTAAAGCAAGAAAAATGCCAAGTCTCAAAAGCCATTATTATCACCTGTAGGAAGCATCAGTGAGTACTAATGAAATTTGAAAATAAAGTCAATATGTATTTTTTAACGTATATTAAAGGGTTCTAATTTCTTCTTGTTTAGAACTTTTAAAGCAATAATTATTTACATTATTAGAAGGCAGCTGTGGAACTGTTTCAAGAAGCTAATAATCCTTCTTTCTAATACTTGGATTTGAAATGCAGCCTATGATTTTGTTCCAGCAAATTTACCTCATTAGCATTACTATTAAAATTGCATTCTGTGAGCACAGCAGATCAAATATAAAATAAAGAAAGGTGGACCAGAAGCAGACTGGGCCTGAAGGGAAAGCCAGTCCAGGACCATCCAAAACAAGAAAGGAAAAAAATCAAACGTTAATTTTTTTTCAGGAAAAATGGTGACTTTTAATCCTTAAGGAGTAAAAATAACTGCTTCCAGGGGCTGCGTCCATTTGGCCTCTCTATAGGATAAATGAACCACATACTGTTCTCACGTACTTGCCAGGCACAAAGGTGGGGCCCAGCCACACTATGTACCAAATGGGCTCTACAGAGACAAAGATACAAGACAACTGCCAGGATGCGTTTCACTGGAGTAGGCCCTGATAAATGGTATTTATAGCATTTTTTCGAGTGGTTGTCATAAATAGTAACGTGTGGGAGTGAAAGTTAATTAGTTGCCAGGATGTGATTTTAACTGGATTTTAAAATGTTTTCTTAACATTTCAAACATCAGAGGGCCACCTGTAGATTTAGCTTTTATCCCACTCCCAAAGGAACAGGTCATGCATCCAATAAAATTAGATATTCCATATTCATGCACAAGCATAGTAGCTCATCTATGAGCTTCTATAGCCATCTGCAAAAACTCAAAAATCTAAACATCTTTGCATGGCATGAAAATGACTGTGGCTTGAGATCAGGCACGTTTCTTGCATTTGTTCAAAGCAATGTTATTTATTAAACTTTACTGCATTTTAGTAAGTTAAGCAAAAATACATTTCCAACAGTTATCAAAGCTGCAAAAAGCAACCAAACAGATTAGTCAGATTACTCAGAGCAGCATTTCTCCACTGAATACATCGCCACACGCTACCCTACAATAAGGAAAATAATGTTCTCGCGTGACACGGGGAACACATTTTTACATTCCTAATTAGGTGACCAGGCTTTCTTTCCTTTTCTCTTTTCTTTTTCTCTCTTTCGCTTGTTCTAATCAAAACAATTCCATTAATTAGCAAACTCTCCAACAGAATACTTTTAAGTGGACCACATTCCTAACCCCATGGATTTGAGGAGGGGAAAAAAAAAAAGTGGGCATAGATGCTAAGTCAAATTGTTTCGTGCCAGATCAGCAACTATCTGTTCTGGTTAATGTATATTAATGGTGGGATCATGTTGCTGCCGACTCTATGCCCTAGAGATAACCCAGGAGGAGAAAAGAGGCTTACTGAACAACTTTAAGATCAATAGTTAAAAATGGTATTCATTTGACAAAGTTTTATTTTTTTTTCCCAGTTGTCACTTTGAGAACCTCTAGGAGATATAGTCCTACCTAAGCCACTTGGAAAGAACAAAATAGGACAGGTAACATGCACTCCCGAGGACAATCTCCCCCATGCACCTCATGCACCGTGCTTGAAGAAAACTGCCAGCCAGCCTGTGCGTGACCTCCCGTCCACAGCAGCCTGGCAGCCATCAGGACAGAGATGTGTTCTTAGATTATACAAACCTCCAACATTAAATTGCTATGTCTGACATAAATATTATCCCCTTCTACTCTCAGGGAATTTTTCTGCGAAATTAAATCACACACAAGGGGGAAAAGGCAAATAAACATAAGTGTATCAATCAGCAGGCATCAGAAACGACCCAGAGTTTGACATTAAAATAAGAGGAATAAAAAATCTTAAGGCTAAAAGCTATAGTAAATGAAAGTCACAAATAAACTCTGAAAGAGCATTCCCCTCTTCCACCCCAACAATAACAAGGGCAGGCAGCAGCCACACTATTTAACTTTAGGGAAAAAAAACAGCCACCTCATCCAGGTGTACTTCCTCTTCTTCCATCTTCACCTGAGAAGTCCCACAGCAAACAGCCAGAAAGGGGAGCGTTAGTGGAAACTCTATGACCAGTGCAAAGAAGCTGTACTTGAACTTAACGGTGAACCAGCATTACCAACCTTTCTTGTCTGGCCCTCAGCAGATGTAGAATATTAAGCCACTTGATCTTTCTTCACCTATAGTGTTGTACGAATGATGGAAATGACCCTTGGCAAAGGTGGAATGGAAGACGGAAGCTTCACTCTTTCTCAGTCCCTAGACTATGCTATCTGCTTTTGAAATTATTTTTTGTTAGGAAAGAAAATATGAGAGTGCAAAAATGGCATAATTCAACCTGTTCTACTTTCAAGGTACGATTGTGCAAAAAAGTCCTGAGCTTCACATCGGGAACAACAGTTTACCCTCCTAGTTAGTTTATAAATGTGGATCTCTTTCCTAGAGGGATGAGGATTGGTTTATTCAGCTACTTTCATATTGAAATGATGGGTATTTAAAAAGCAATCTTTTAAATACAGGCACTTTTCTTTATAAAATTCTTTAAATAAGAATACTTTTTCATAGCTGGACATTTCTCAGTATCTATAGTGGCCCAAAAAGAATGACTTTAGGAATTAAAACTAACATAAACACTGGTTGAACTTTGACACCAGGAAAAGAATGGCAAGAAGGAAAAATATTGATTTTGATATCAAAGGAAAATAGTTTAATGTTCACAGGGGTACTTCATATCCTACATTCTTTTCCTTCTTTGCTGGGATGATAGTATCAAATCTGAAAGTTCAAAATGCTCAACTTTAAAATAAACAATCAAAAAATCATTCCTGGCATTTCTCACCAGTAAAGAGGGAACTCCTCCAAGTATTTTATTGGAAGTAAAAATGAGACAATCACTTAAAATCTGTTAAGAACCATCTTCCAATTCCTTGGTCAACACTTAACTCTTTAAAATGTTGATCTTTGGTATTCTTCAGGTAAACTGAGAATTGTGCTGTCTCCTAATGCATACTCTTGGATTATCTTCACATTGTTCTTTAGGTTTGGTCTAAATTTTGCAATTTACTCTGTGTATTCACAGTACCCACAGAATATGAGATATGGTATCACCAGAACACTCAGCAAAATAACTAAAAACATACTGCACATGTCAACACTGACTTAGCAGTGCAGGGGTACTATAACTGAAATCAAGCTCTTTTTATGAAATCCTCAAACCAGACACCTAATTTAGAGGACTGAGAGACCCAAACTTAGTGTTACATAGACTAAATTTTCAAAAGGCCATGTTTCACTTTCTACACACATTTGTTAAAGATAAGGATGTTGGCTCTTTCACATAATTACATGACTTCAGTTTGGGGAAAAAAAATACACTAGCTAAAATACATTTAGCCCCCAAATGGTATAATTATAGGGAGACAAGGAGTTTCTGAGATTAAACTTACAAATGTCAGGAGTAAAGGTTACAGATACACTCTCATAAATGTAAGAACAAGCTTGGAATTTTGAACAAGAGTAATAATTCTAAGCAGGTCTATTACACGTCCATTATAGTTATGTCCACTGCACACTAAGTTCTGTACCAAAACAAAAATTCTCATCCTAAAGGAAGAGCACTGACATTTTTCTGAAAAAAGGAGAGACCCAATATGGACTTTTACAGACAACACAGGATCTCCTGTCTCCTGCTTCTTTTGCTAAGAATCTAATATGCCCTTGATACTAATGAAATAATCCTGTAACTTTCCACTCAGCTTAGAATGTGTGGACCTGTTCAAAGTGTATCACTGGAGAAGTGCCTACATTTAGTTCATGCACTAAAATGTTTGAGAGCATACAGATGATGCCATTTGGAGGGGAAGCAGTGGTGACATTTATGCACACATTTACACTCTATATTTGGAAGGGGATAAGATGAAGTACAGGCTTGTTGACTCCACAAAGTGGAGCTTAGGAAAAAGTGCCAGTAACTGCCTCCTCTTCCTCTGTTTTATCATTCACATCACAGTCCCAAGAAACGTTAAAGGAGTTTGCTTTAGCCTCCAGATAGCAGAGGGCTAGAGCCAGAGGAAGAGAAAAGGTGAGAGAAAAAGGAACCGACTGAGAAGCTGAGAGAAGCAGCCCAAAGATGAGGATGAGGGAAGGAATGAAGGACGGGGAGGTGATAGGGATGTAGTGCTGAACATCAGGGGGCAGGAAGGAGACCCAGACCCTGGGGAGGCTGGGGAAAGCAAGATACCCATCTTCATCAAGAAGGGAAGGGAAGCCAGAGGGAAAACATTTGTAGAAACTGAACGAGAAGTAACCAAACTCCGAATCACTGCGGTCAGCCATTTTAAGAGCCTTCTCCAGGAGGGGCGCAGGACAGTCAGGCTGAGGAGGGGCAATAGCAGGATCTAACACGGAATCCCGAGTGGCAGCTTGAGGCTCTCCCCGACCTGACGTTTCACCTGTGGAAAGGAGTGCTAAACTGTCTACTCTGATCTGGTCGGCCTCCCCAAAGGGGTCTTCCTCTGAAATGTCTGAGAGCAAATCCATTTCAGGGACTGGCAACAGGTTTGGGGAAAAGGATGAGGCATAGCGGATGAGTGGTGATGGTGGGCAAATGGAAACAATCTGTTTTCAAGAGCAAACCCATGGTTGAATATGAAGTTACACAACAGATATAGTCAAAGGAAAAACGAATGCAAGAAAGAAAGAAAAGAAATGGGTAATTAGTGAAGATTTTACTCAGAAGTAGGGATCATACTAACACACTATAGTTAGAAAATGACTTAAATGATCCATTTTAAAACTGGACTACTTTTAGTACATCAAATTCACAGGCACCGATTTAATCATTGTTTACAAACTGGTTGCAAATAAATCCTATAAAAGCCAAATAGCAGTATTTACTCTTAAACCTGGTTGCTGACATATATTCAAAGCATTAGTTTAAAAAAAAAGCCAGCATATCCACTTGTCTGCTGAAGAAGAGCAGGATTTCCTGTAGAATTTAAAAGTCAAGAACATTTTCATTTTTAAAATAAATAACTAGTGTGTCAAATTAACTAAGCAACAAAGAACAGAGACTTTCTGAAATGCTGAGCTTCTCTGTTTCAGATGTAAATAGTCACTCTCCTGGGTGTCTCATTAAGCAAATTAAAAAAAATGATTCTGACAACCTCTCAGCAGTTGAAGGATACCTCGTTGGACACAATTTCTGTTCCGTTTTACTAATTTCCAACCACATAATTTTTCAATATGACAGTCACAAAGCCTTTAACAATGGGATGCAAATGACTGAACGACTGAACGTCACTGCTATCCGAGGCACACTTGTCCTTGAGGCATCAGACAAGCCCACATGCTCCCTGAGAGGCTGGCAGCGCAGAAGTTCCTGCAGCCCTGGCAGTCACTTCAGCTAGCAGGTTCTTTACACATGCAGAGCTAAAAGTCAGAAAACATTCTAATCAAGGGAATGATTTGTTTTTGTGTGCCTGCTCTCAAACATCATATATCAAATCGTAACAAGAGTTGCTTTTTGCACACAGAATAGAGAAGACCTGAAGATTGCAAAGGCTCTTCACATCAAAAAATCAAAGCGACTTTACTGCTAAGGTAATAAAAGACAACAGTGACAAATTTAAGAACACAATATAGGTTACTTCTCCATTCACCATGGTGTGCACACAAAACAAAGCCAAAATCAAAATCAACACACCGTCGGCTCACACACTACTCACAAACCAATTGCCTTATGAAGAATTTCTTCCCACTTACAGACTATTAATGAAAACTAACTATTTTAATAAAAATCACCTTTGTTCATGTCAAAACTTTCACATCAACATAATTAAAATAAACAAGACACAGGCTACACTATAAACTTGTAAAAAAATGTGTAAGTTTCAAATCACCTGCAGCTTTCATAATTTGAAGATTTAATTAGATATGATGATTATGCAGATAGTCCAAAGGCTAATACATTACTTACTTGCATTAATATAAATTAAGTTGAAATATTTCGCTTTGAATAACAATCAAGAAAAAAAAAAAAAAGGTCAGAGACCACAGTCCAAACTAGGAAGAGCCTACATGCATTTGAAAATTGAGAAATAATACAACAGAGAAGGTGCAATGTCTAGCTTTAAATATCTAATTTCTGAAACAGAAAACACAACAGAGAGCCCCTAGTCAAAGGAGAACTTTAAGACCACAAAGCGTCTTAATTTACCATACCTTTCCTTCAGTGAGTGGCAAATGGGGGGCTTTACTTGGGCTTCTGACTTCCTTCCTGCCGTCTCCATCTTGCACCATGGCAGTGCTGACAACTCCAGGGCCATAGGGTGAAACCTCCCCAGCAGGGCCAGCAAACTCCTTCATAAGACTTTGGTCCACACCAATTGGGGCTAGCCAAGAAAGAGAATTGCAAATTACAGGCCGAGTGAATGGGAAAACTTTACAGGACTTTTACCTCCTAAACAGATCATCAGGCAACATATGAACAATGAACAGAACACAGACCTTGCTTGAGTTTTGAAATTACCAACATACAAAATAAACTTGTTTTTAAAACTTTCACCAAGCCCTAGAAGTATTCTGAATTTTAACCTACTGAATGAATTTCACCAGGACCTGGAATCACAGATTTTTGAAGGATATGCGCTGCTCATGGATTGGCCAGTAGGAGGAGCTCGAAGACCAACTTAAATGCCAGAATCAGGGCAAAATGTCAGAACTACAAAGTATGTTAGATTTTAATTCTCTAGGGTCTCTTTGATCTCACTTAGATTTGTTTCTGAATCTAAGTAATGGAACAAATAATTATCTAATTATGAAAGTGATTTGTTTCAATAAGTTAAGAATCCCTCCATAAAGGAACCCTTGATTGAAACACCATGAGACAAGATAATAAAGGTAGGCTCTAGGGATTTAATTTTTATGTTTGTTTAAATTTTTTTCATTTTCTAACCCCTACCCTGCTGCATGCCTCCAGCTAACCTATGGTAAATCTGATACACAGACATCCCTCCATTGGTCCTCGAGTGAATCTAGCCACTGTGCACTCCTTTCTTCTCTCCTACAGATGGGGAATGCAAGGTACCCTCAAACTTCAACAAGGCAAAATGAGTAGCAGCTGGCAAACCTTCTCCATCTGAAGTGACTACCCAAACAAAAGAACTAACTACCGGAAGATCACTTCACCACATAGAGTGCTTTACTGACACTGTGTGGTTTGCTCTGGGTTCCACATCCCTGGAGGAAGCCTAGTAAACACAAGAGCCTTTAGGCTGAAAGTGCACCGAGGGTAGGAACTGTGTGTGGTCTACCATTCTGAACCTGGAAGGCATCAAGTAATTTCAATCCATGGATCACAAAGTACTTCTCACACTACACCCCTCACCCACTCCGTCCAAAACTTGCTTCTTTTCTAGTCTTGCCTTCTTCACACACATTACTCTTACACTTGCACCAAAATGCTCAAGCCAAGTCTTCCAGGACTCTTTCTTGACCTCGCAATAGCAAATCCAGCAGAATCCTTCTATATATTTGTAAATGTGGCCAATTTTTTCCATCTCTGTTACTAATATCTCACCAGGAGCTGACACCAAATCATATTTAAACATTAAAATGAACTCACATCTTATATTAAATATAATTTTTTAAACTTTTGATAAAATTATACTAATTATCCCTCAGAAGGGGTAAAACTATGCTAAGTATACGACTTATGATTGATAATTTATAAGCATACATTATACATTATACATACTGAGGAATTATTGCAAAATGAAAAAATGTGACTAAGAAATGGTTTCAGATTATGATACTGAAATTTAAATATGTATCAAATTTAGAGGTATAAAACTACTGACTTTGCACACTTGTAAACATTTAGTAATTCCAGTTTGCAGTTTTCTTTTCATATTTTGGAACTAATAAATTTCTGCAGGTCTCAAAACCCTTTGTGGAACCCTACAGGCTCAGGCACTGTGTCTGCAACACCAAATGGTTAACTGACCTACTAGAACCCGAGATCAGATGACCATCATTTTCACCTGGACTATACCTACCAGTCAGCCTGCTTCTTTCTCAAGCACCCCAACCATTCTTTTATACAACAGGATTTTTTAAAAGATAATACCAGGCTCTGATGTGCACATACACCAACACATATACATACTCACCCTTCATTAGTTTCCTATAGCACTCAGGACAGAAAACCACATTCTTATTATGGTCTGTGAGCCTACAAGACCCCAGACTATTCTCCCATCACTTACAAATTCTCTCCCATCTTATATCCTTCATCTCTGCTGCTTCTGCTACCTGGAATGCTTTATTATCTCTTGCTCTTTTCATGGTTTCCTCCTTCCAGTCTTAAATGACAGATACTCCTTTCCCTGAGGATCCTAGCTAAGTGATCTCCCTGCTTCTTAGTACTTCCACTCTTAGAAAATCATTGGCTTCCCCATCCCAAATGCATCCTGATTATTAGTTCTCTCAAAAGACCAATTTGCTTCCCTTTTAGGTCAACGTTCTAATCCTGAAGAAGTCATACTGCTGCTCTAAAACAACTGCTTTAAGATTGATTTTTATTTTGATATTTGGTTGTTGGATATCCCATTGACTTTTACTTTCTAAGAAATTACTAGGGAATTTATTTTAATTTGCCAAACTCTAAAGAGAAAATTATTTATTTTATCTAAATTATTCTAGCCTCGCTTAAAAAGCAAACAGGAAAAAGAAAATACAAAACATGGCAAAAACAACAAAGAAAAGTGTATTGATGGAAAGTGGAGAAAATAAAGCTCAGATCCAGGTTACCGAGTAGCCTTGCTTTGGAAAAAAAAGACCAGCCTTGCTTTGGAAAAAAAGAACTAAGTCCTAACCAAAGAGTTCTCCGCCTGTCTGGTCATGTATTGGCATGAAAAGCCTCCTATTTTTCACAATAACACAATAATCCTTTTGATGACTTGCCCATCTGATGAATTACAGTGTCCAAAACACAAAGGGAAAAATAATGGATTATTGTGCCATGTTTGCTGCTTTTACTTGTAAAAATCATTGTTTTCAGAAAGATACGGACTCCCACCACCCTCTGTACTAACTGCCTATACAAGATGGTGGATTTCCTTGAGCATGGTTTATATACTTCAAAGAAAATACACTGGTTTATAGCTCTTTAAATCTCTAAAATTTGCAATATAAGAGTTATAGAGCCTCATACTTTAAAACAAAGTCTGAAAACAATGTTCCAGAAAAAAGAAAAGACTTTTCTCAGGGCATTAATCAACAATGATTTTATTTATTTAGTACTTATATAAATTCTCTGGGGAAATTGGGTGAGGCTTATGAAATACTTAAATAGGTTGGCACAATATTTTAGATATCCTTGGGAAAGTGTCCAGTTGTTAATCAGCTATATAGTCCATCAATAGTTCTCTGAGGCAGGTTTATGGTCTCCTATGCATACCTTTGTCACCTTCATAAAGTTATATGGAAGATTCTCTATAATCAAGATAGAATAACGATAAATAACACCAAAATCCTACCAACAAATCCTGGAAATTATATTTTGGGGGCCAGTATTGTGGCATAGCAGGTAAAGCTGCTGTCTGGGATACCAGACCCCACAGAGACACTGGTTTGACTCCTGGCTGCTCCACTTCCAATCCAGCTCCCTAATGGCCTGGGAAAAGCAGAGGAACATGGTTCAAGTGTTTGGGCCCCTGCAACCCATGTAGGAGTTCCAGATGAAGCTCCTGGCTCCTGGCTTCCACCTGCCTCAGCACTGGCCATTGCGGCCACCTGGGGAATGAACCAGAGGATGGAAATATCCTCTCTCTCTCCCTTTCTCTCTCTCTCCCCACACCCCATCTATCTATATCTCTGATTTTAAAATATGTAAATAAATCTTTAAAAAAGAACTAATTTTATAATTAACAGGTTGAAGAAATTTAGCCATATACATTAAAATCAAGTCAAACCTGTAAACCTGTTTGTCCAACATCTCATGAGAAAGAACTATTAATGAACATTTTGAGCAATGAAATACAAAGAAAACATGTTCAGAATGACAGCTTCAAAACACAAGATTATTTCCCATAAGTAACAGTTCTTTATTTTCCTAGAAAAAAAAAAAAAGATGGCAATCCATCTAGCTTCCGTTTAGTGACCTTATTAACTAGACCATTTTTTTCTTCTGGATTAGAGGAAGATGAAAGGAATCCATATGGTCATAAGTATATTTACCTCCATCTAGACTCCTGGAGACCCGTTTACTGGAGGTGCGCTCAAAGTGTGGAGCTGGCCTGTCTATGAGGGTGCTTGCCTGGCGGGTCTGCGCTTGGGTGCGGCCGCTGTAGCGGAATTTGGACCCCAAAGTCAGGAACTTGGCCTTTGGTGGCTGCTCTGGAGACACAAGCCTACAGGGGAAAAACCAGGAACAAAATTAGACTTGATAGACTTTCTTCTAAAAACGTTAGAACTATGTGTTTTTCAATCTCTTCTTTTAAGTATGACTACTCAACAGCAATGTTAAAATGTTCTAATTTTAAAAAGAATATTATTTATAAACCCTCCTACATACATAGCTTTATGATGGTGATGAATAAATCCAAATTCATGTATTTGTGAATGTTTTCTTAAACCTGAGGAAAAAAGCAGCTGTTCTCAGTGTGTATCAAGGGTTATTTATTTGTGCTAGCCTAAATCATTTCTATAAACACATATGTTGGAATTCTTGCTCTTAGCTATAAGTGCCAAGTAGCAAGCCATTGCCATTAGTAATTCTTAATATTTATGCCTGTTTCTCCTGGGAAAAAAACATCTAACTTGAGAATCTGTTCCATCAAATGAATCTTTCCCAAGAAGAACACAACACACAGTGGATCTGCAAATGACTCACAGCCTTGCTTGCCAGCACAATTCTACTGCGTCAGCCCTGGGTTCATAATGAATGAAGTCAAACTTGCTTGTTGTCAAATATTTCCAGACTTAAACTAAAGCATGTTTTTTAGCAAATGAGCCAATCCTTTTTGGAACACAATGGAAACTGTCTCACTTTCACTGTTTGATCACGAGCTGACAAAATGTCTTAAACAAAAAGAAAAAAGATAAAACCTTGGAGCTCTTGAAGAACTTATAAATAAGGAAACTTTAGTTAACGATTCAAGAATATCGAGAACTCCATGTTTCCTATCACTTCCTAAAGAAGAGTGATTTCCTAATGAATCTCTTATCATTTTAACTATTTCTACACATTCTACACAATTTTTTTAAAGTAACTCTTCTTTGTGTTCAATCAACAGTGAAAAGATCCAAGTTGAGGTAAAGCTAGACATGGTAAAAACCAGAGGCAATACTCCATGATTCTCGACAGTGATTGCCCAGAGAAACAGCAGGCTAGAATTAAACTGGTAACAGAACGGCCTTCTTGACGTTCACCTAAGTGAGCAGAGGTGCTTCTTGAAAACTTCCATTTTCCGCCAACAGACTTTCAAAGGAAACACAGATGATGATTCTGAGAAATACAATCTGACGATGGACAGTGCCTGAAATTATACTTTGGAAAGAGCTTTGTATTCTTAAATTAGAGTGTTGGAAGAATAGAACTTCAGACCAGAAAAGCACCCTTGGCCTGCTATGAATTGTCTTTTTCTCTAACAGTTGAGGAATGAGGCACGGAGATTAAAAACCCCAGCAGACTGATTATGAGAAACAGGCATGAGGAAAGTGGTCATTCACAGAGCAACGCTTCTTGGTAAGTTGAATAGGGCAAAATTTCTCCAGCTAGAAATCCAGACAAATATGATCTTAAGAACACTCTGTAGAAAAGCAGTGATCTATAGAAAGGATTGGCGGCAAGCTCATCAGTGCAGCAACTGACTGAGAAACACTCATTCTGTTTAAAAGCTGATTAGCCGGGGCCGGCACCATGGCTCACTTGGTTACTCTTCCGCCTGTGGTGCCGGCGTCCCATATGGGTGCCGGGTTCTAATCCCGGTCGCTCCTCTTCCAGTCCAGCTCTCTGCTGTGGCCTGGGAAGGGCAGTGGAGGATGGCTCAAGTGCTCGGGCCCCTGTACCCGCATGGGAGACCAGGAAGAAGCTCCTGACTTCTGGCTTTGGACTGGCACAGTGCTGGCCATTGCAGCCATTTGGGGAGTGAACTAATGGGAGGAAGACCTTTCTCTCTGTCTATCTATAACTCTACCTGTCAAAAAAAATTATCTTTTATTGCATTTTCCATGAAGTTTTTGAAGCACATTCATCTAAGGGCGAGGGCAGCAGAGGTGAGGAATGTGGAACTCAGAATCAGAGAGGTGAGTCTGTAACTCCGCTCAGGTACGTGGCCCACTGTGCTTCTGAACAGGCACCCACTTCTGATTATCTTCCATCTTGGGAGTGAGGTGCAGATGAGCTACTGGATAACAAAGCAATTGATTCTGGGTCTGACAACAATAAATGCTCAATGAATGTAAGCACCTGTCATTTCTAAAACGATTATTGCTTTTATCATCACTATTCAGCAGAGAAACCTGCTGCTTATCCAGCCTAGTCCTGCATCATAAATGTAACATCTTAGCTTTATACAAGGCTGGCTCGTGTTGTCTTTAGGAGAGATTTGTTATGGCTACCAAGAGGAATTATAAACTTTTCAAGGATTTATATGATCAGTGAAACTTAGTCAGATGGATTCATGTATACTTTATGAGTTACATTTCTCCTCTAAAGTGAGTATATTAGTCTTGAAAATAGTCAATTTAACTTCACAAAGAAGTCATTTGTACCAGTTGATCAGTCACTTTAAAAACAGCACACTGGGACTGGCGCTGTGGCATAGCAGGTAAAGCTGCCGCCTGCAGTGCCGGCATCCCATATGGGTGCCAGTTGGGAGTCCCAGCTGCTCCATTTCCAATCCAGCTCTCTGCTATGGCCTGGGAAAACAGTACAAGATGGCCGAAGTGTTTGGGCCCCTGCACCCGCACGGGAGACCTGGAAGAAGCTTCTGGTTCCTGGCTTCAGATCAGTGCAGCTTCAGCTGTTGCAGCCATCTTGGGAGTGAACCAGCAGATGGAAGACCTACCTACCTACCTTCCTTCCTTCCTTCCTTCCTTCCTTCCTTCCTTCCTTCCTTCCTTTCTCTCTCTCTCTCTCTCTCTCTCTCTCTCTCTGTAACTCTTTCAAATAAGTAAAATGAATCTTAAAAAATAAAAGCACACTGAAAAAGCAAGAAACTGAGAATAATGATGACAGTGATGAAGATAAATATTATTAGCTACTTGAAATCACTCTAAGTTTGTTTCACATGTGTTATGTCATTTAATTTTTGAAACAATCCTATAAGGTAAATACAATTATTATTAGCATTACATAAGCTTGATGAAAAGGGAAACACAGCTGTATATGGTGTAATGCCATTGGACTCCAGGTCCAAAGGAAAAATCTTAAAGATGAAGGGTCTAGATACACAGCTTTATATAAACTAAAGATAGGCTAGCATTTGACCCCACAGGTACAAAAGTGGTAAGGTCAGGATGCAGGGCTCAGCCAGACCCAGCCAATTGGAAAGGCTGATATTCAAAGAGGAAAGGGATCTGAAGGGGTTAAGAAGACTTCTGACCAAGCAACTAGAGGGACAAACCACAAGGTGTGGGCTGTGTAGGAAAGAAGTTAAGCCAGGAGGGATATGATCAGTGCAGTGGCACATCAGGCGCAGTGCAGTGGGAAGAATGGCAGCAGGTACTGGGCAGTACAGGTTTGGGGTGGAAAGAAAGGTGGTTACAGTCAGAGAGTAGAGTCTGAACACCTGCAGACAGACGAGATCTGAGAGACGACAGGGCACGCCTTGGGCCTTAGCAAAGGACACGGGAAGGGAATGCAGGCAAAGGGGAGGCAGCATAGAGGAGAGCAGAGAACCCTGGGCTTGATGCCTGAGTAGCCTGATACATGTGCCACCTCCTAACCAGGACAGGCTCCCAGCAACACCACCAGGTGGTTTTCTGAAATTACCTGTAGAAAGTGTGATGCTCCACGCACACTTTCCATAGCCTTTTTGCTGCCCGATGATTCGGCAGTTTGAATCCAATGGTGCTCTCAAACTGTTCCAGCTGGAATAAACCCATAAAATAGATCAGTGTATTTCCAAAGGTGCTGATGAGGAGCTACGGAAAAACAGGGACTCACAGGTTCCTACATAAAGGAAGTAATTCTTCTAAATAAAGGTAAATATATCTAAGTGATCATATAAAATGAATTTTTCTAGAACTGCAACATTATTTTCAATGTAAAGCAAGTATCAACTACTCAAATAAATCAACTATTTGTCAATGTCCACTAAACTCATTTGATTACCTTGGTATTGACTTCCACAAGCTAACTGATTCAACAACAGAAAATGAGCCACCATGTATGCCAGGAACATGTTACTTCTATTCTGAGGAAGGCGTGGTTAGCTGCATTTTAGAAACGGGAATATGAACATGCAGGTTTATTATCAAGAACTCTGAGTTTTGGGGCCAGCAACATGGTGCAGCAGGGTAAGCTACAACCAGCAGTTACGCCAGTATCCTATACAAGTACCAGTTCAAGTCCCAGCTCTTCCACTTCCAATCCAGCCTCCTCCAATGTACCTGAGAAGGCAGTAGAAGACAGCCCAAGTACTTGGGACCCTGCCACCCATGTGGGAAATGTGAATGTAGTTCTAGGCTCCTGGCTTCTGTCTGGCCCAGCCCCGACTGTTGCAGCCATTTGGAGAGTGAACCAGTAGATGGAAAATCAATCTCTCACTATACCTTTCAAATAAGTAAATCTTAAAAAATCATTTAAAAACCTTGATTTTTTTTCACCATGAAAAATAAAAAAAGTTCAATCTCTTAAAATTGTAGTAGAAAAGAACTAATTTATCAGGTGGCTGAAAAGAACACTGACAACTGATTAGTTATGCTAAGGGCCACATGACATTGCTTACCTCTGCTGGTCTAACTTTAATGTAGAAGTTACTGCGCTTATAGGAAATTTTCAAGATTTTCGGCCAAGCAAAACGATTGATTCTCAGTCTGTCTTTGTAAATGAGAAGTCCATTAGCGCACACGCCCAGCTTGATGTCCACGCCTTCTGAGTCCTGCCAAGCATAACCATGTGACCACAGTTGGAGGTATGAAAATTGTACAGATGAGTAGGCAAAATAGCTGTCTCAAACCAGGACAAGCAGAAATGCCAACTTAACAGGTTCGTGTTTAAATTTTAATGATAATACACACATTAATAGAAATAGTAGGACAAACACATATCTTAAATAGTTACAGATCAGATCTGATTTGCCAAAGAGTTAAGGAAACCAGATTATAGGACATCTTTAAATTGTGTAATCCATGTGTTCTCACACTGTACTGTAAGAGCTAACAGCAAAGAAAGGACACAGAGTTAGATATCCTGAATATATGAGGAATAAAATGTCCTCCTGGAGGCCATCCCAGCCCTCAAGGACAATCTGCCAACCCTATAAAGGGCATTCAGCCATTTTCCTTTAGGCAAATTTATCTCAGATGCATTACCTTAGCTAACAGCTGTTAAAATAATGCCTAGATTTTGCAATACACCAATGACTTGCATGGAAATTTCTCCTCTTGGCTGACAGTGTTGAAAACTCTGAATTCTTTCAAGTAACTTTTTAGTAACTTAGAATGTTGTCATCCAGTTCCCATTAGGCATTCCTTTGGCTGGCACATTTCAAACTACTCAGGGGAGTTAATAATAGCTTTCTTTCCCCAGAACTTTAATTTGGAATAATTGACAACCTAATCAAAAAATTGAAAGAATTTTTAAAACCAAATAAATTTTATGCAGTTATTAAAAAAAAAAACAAAACTGTCTCTGGCATTTCAAGCAGTGCCAAAGATCTAAGATGGACAACATTAAAAAAATCTACAAATTCTAGTTTATCATTAAGGGTAGATCTCATTCAAGTTTGTAAAATTTAAGAATACTATTTAGAAATTTTTCACATCTTCAGAAATCATTCACAAAACGTAGTAAATTCTCACCAAAAGGGCTGGCACAACCATGACATTTAGTGTAAGTTCCAACTCAACAAAATCATACCACTATAATTTAACACTACTTATATCAGTTAAAAAAAAAAAGTGCAGTACTAGATAACAGATATCAGTTGCTTTCTCTGCAGTGATAACTGAATAATTCAAATATACAAACAAATTACATTGGACCAACTTGCGCAGCTTAAAAAAAAATCTAATCCTTAGGGTGCTTGACTCACCCTTCTCTTGGCAGCCACAATTCTCTCGAGGAACAGAGTAAAAAGCTAGTGTGAAGCATACACAGGTGCCCCAAGCAACTTGGCACCCGACACGAATGGTGTGTCTGCCAAAGACATCACTGCCCACACCATACAGAGCCAGGTGGAAGAGTAGCTGAGACGGCACTTCCTTACAACAGACAAGGCCATCTTCATTTCAAACGCTGAGCAAAGCTATCTCTAGTCTGGTACCATCTTTGGATGGGTCAATCTGACTTAAAAATAAACACCACCCGGAGTCAAGTAATACATAACTGCTTTATAATTATCCATATTTGTATGAACAGAAATTATAGAAAAAGAAAGGGGATAAACAAAGATTGTTCTGTTTTTTAATTATGCCACTCAGCAACAAAGTCAGAAATATAACAGCGACAGGCTTTCCATGAAGTTCTCTCCTTCTAGATCTGGCAATCACTGTCTGCCCCAACCCTCCAGTCCTGGAAGGGCCACTTTCACCAACCTGGGCAAGGTACTGGTCTTGTGCTTTCCCTGCACCTTCATTAAAAATCCGACTGCGCACGCTTCAACATGTCCTAACTCTAGCGTGCCATTAAGAACTCTTCTCATTAAAAAAATACGAAAAAAAAAAAAAAAAAAAAGAAAAAGAAAAACACCTAATCTCAAGGCAATGAAAATAAAGGCACAAAACTTTAACAACATGAAAAGTCCTTTTAAACTGTTACAGACATTTTTTAAATGAGTCACACATATATTGCTTGTCAAATATTCTCTAATAAGTTTATCAAACATTAAATGGAATGAAAAAGTAAATGCAACCTTGCATTTTTTAAGTGTTCTGTCCCTAACTAAACAGCAAGAATTGACATTGTTATACTTAAAAAAGAGCTTGAAACTTTCTATTTTTCTAAGATAACCTATTAAAAATCAAGAATGCTAAAACCATACACTATTGCCACCTGAGAATGGGTTTCTTATGGTCAAAGTAGGAAGAAGTAAGGTTTATAACAGTGAAAGCAACCATGTTAGAAAAATAGTTAAAGGCTTGGGAAGTCTTTAGGAGCCCAAACCTTTCTCACCTCCTTCCCTCATTCCTCTTTCTTGGCTAACTCAGCCTCCTCTTTCCTCCCATATAGGAAATGAGATGAAAACCATGTAAAGGATCAGGAAAATCTTAGTTGTATCAGAAGATATCAAGCAGACAGGACTGCTTAGTAAGACGTGACTATAGGATGAAACTTTATTTTCTGCACTGTTTTATGGGGTTGTAAATGTAAAAAATCAAATTTTAAATGAGTTGGTATAGGTGACAGCACTTCCAAAAATTAAGGGTACAGAGCATGTGGTGACTAAACATCATGGTACCAGAGGCTGTTTACTGAGATTAGAAAACGTATATAAAAGCAAGCTGAAACAAATCTAAAGAAAAATGATATTCATAGTAAGACCTCATCTTAAAAAGGTGTGAGAATTCAACTGCTCAGAGGTTTTTAAGAAAGAAAACCAAAAAAATACTAAAATATTGGCAGTGCTTATTTCTGTATAGAGTAGTAAATGATTTTTATTTTATTCTGCTTGCCTTTAGTTTCTAAGATGAACATGTATTACTTTCATGTTTAAGATATAAAGGAAACCACTGAGGGGAAAAGCACACTTTGAAAACATGGAGTACAGTTAATAACACAAAGACAAAAACAAAAAAATCAATCTGAAGCCCCGGAGGGAAAATATCTCCGAGTGGAAGCCTTTCTTAGAGATTGCTCAAAGCATATAATCTGGGATTCCTACGCTACACCTAAGTTTGGCAGGGTCTTTTAAAAGGAGGTTCCCTCCAGATATTGAATTAACTCCAGACACACTTTGCCAAAGCCAACTGGTCTTTCCTCTCATTCTCCTCCACTGTCTGCACTAAGTGATTGTCTAAACAGAATCATGACATAGCAGATGTTTGTTACTGTCATCCTCCCAAGCCAACTCACCCTCTCCGACCACAGATCTTCTTTACTCCACTCTTTTACTACCTCTCAAATTCAACTGCAGGTGCTTCAGCACCTGGAGTCTGGGGCAGCCTACCAAGTCTTTTCACAAAGCACAAGATCAACCTATCAGGAAAAGCCCTACTAAGGCTCCTCTCCCTCACAACCCAGAAGTTTTCTGGAAGGTGGTCATATCTGTTTCATATTGGCCCTTTCATCCTCCCTAAGATCTGTTCTCTTCTCCCAGGACACAGGTAAAGGAAAGAGCTGCGACACAGGCAGCACCTGGCCTAGCCAAAGCTGGGATGCAGAATAAACCAGGATGGGGGTGAAAAACACTGACAACATGAATTTCTCCATAAATACCCATGAGATGATATTAATTTAAAAGGCTAAAAGAGAAGAAAGCAACAGGTGGAGAATAAATGATCCCTTCCACAACCATAAACCCCATAACTAGTCAAAAAAAAAAAAAAAAAAAAGCTACAGAGATCCTCAGGTGAAGATAAATAGTGTTTCCCCATAAGTTTTAGAACTGGGCTGTTCTGAAACCAAAGCCCTCTCAAAATGTCAGTCAATAGAACAGAATGGTGCCACTTCCTGTTAATTTACAGTACCTTGGCATGATGTAGGTCCACACCATACATGGAAAGCCTCTTTGCATTTTCTAAGAACTGAGAATCAGCTTGTGCTGGAGACAGGCCCCTGAGAATCAAAACAAACAGCATTATTTTATTAGTAGATGGAAAGGAGATGTAGTCAAGATGAGGAAAGGGTGTGTGAGCTTAGAGAGTCTGGGGTAGTCCAAGTAACTCAGCTAAGTTTGCAGGAAAGTAGGAAACAGGTAAGAAACTCAACTCTCAATCTCTAGCATTTTTCTCTTATAACTATTTAATCTAAACTGCTGTTTCACAAGGAGGTGTACCATTACCCCCACACTTTTTATCCTAAAATGTTTTTTAATTATTTCCACTGGAGAAAAAAAGCTCTGAGAACAATGGGAACAACTTAACTAAGTATAAAAAAGATTTCATCTTTCTGAGAAAATGCATTCTTACTTCTTAATTTTACTTTGCTACAATTAACCATAACTAAAATCCAAATTACTTGTACTTGATCTTACACCTTTTCACTCTTCTGTCCATACTAAAATTATTTCGATTTCCTATTTATGTCCCCAAATATACAAATTTTAAGCTCTGAGAGAGTAGGACCATGTCCCATTCATCATATACCCATAGCATTTCAGCACCACACATTCCAGCAATTATACAATAAGTGTTTGGTAAGTAGAATTTAAATAAAGTTAATAAAAATTTACATTCAAATACCTTCATTTACAGTTTTTAAAGAAAAGTCTATGAATGTGATCTATTTAAAACCTTTTAATCTAGGGGCCGGCACTAGGACATAATGGGTAAAACTGCCACCTGTATCACTGGCATTTCACTTGGGCACCAGTTCAAGTTCCAGCTGCTCCACTTCTGACCTAGCCCCCTATTGGTATGCCTGGGAAAGGAGCTTCATCCAGGTCTCTCACGTGGGTAGCAGGGGCCTGAGCACTTGAGCCATCTTCCGCTGCTTTCCCAGACCCTCAACAGGGAGATGGATTGGAAGTGGAGCAGCTGGAACTCGAGCCAACACCCATATGGGATGCCAGGTCACAAGCAGAGGCTTAACCTCCTTTACCACAACACTGGCCCCACTAGTCAATATTTTATAAAATTATAATACTACAGATATGATATAATTTTACATCAAAAGTTATAAAAGTCTGAATAAAAAAATCCATGTTCAGACAGATATCAAAGTTCTCAAGGTGTAACATGGTATTAAATCCCTCAGAGAAACCAAAGGGCCATATTCTGTGGTTTCACTAAACCTTCTGTGCAGCTCAGCTATCACTCCTACATCCATCACCACACACGTCTTTTTAAAAATTAATTTATTTATCTGGCAGGCAAACTGACAGAAAGAGATAGGGAGAGAGAAAGAGAATCTCCCATCTGCTAGTACTCTCTCCAAATGGCCACAACAGGCATGGCTGGTCCAGGCCAAAGCCAGGAGCTCCATCTGGGTCTCCAGTGAGGGTGGAAGGGGCCCAAGCACTTGCACCATCATCCACTGCTTTACTAGGGGCATTAGCAGGAAGCTAGATCAGAGTAAAGCACCTGGGACTAAAATGGGCACTCCGATACGGGATGTCAGCATTGTCCCTGCCGAAATGCTGGGAACTACCACCAGATTTCTAACTCAAATCTTGATGCTTCATTATCTCCCAGGTCTTCTTGTCATATGTATTAATGTAAACAATTAAAAAGGAGACAAAATAAGTAAAATGCCAAACAAGTATGTGGGTATGTTTGTTCCATGCATACATGTATCTGTGTGTGTTTAACAGGTAAAGGATGGGACTAGAGACAGTGAGATGTCGTCACAGTGCAAAGGACACTCTTCCAATAAATTTAACTAGATAGTCCCATAAGCACAGCTCTTCATATTATAGCCATAAAAACAACAAAAAACTATCCCAAAGCATGCAGATAGTCTTGACAGTCATGAGCATAGCTCTTCACATCACTGTCCTAAAGACAAGGCTGTCAGTGCTAGTTGAAGCTCCAGAAGGAAAATCTGGATAATCCCATAACCTGTCCTCAAATATCTAGCAAGTATTTCAAGAGGTGATACTGAAATTTACCACAGCCATCCTCTCCTCTCCTCTCCTCTCCCCACACCCCCCTGAGCAAATCAACACAGACCTGTGGGTTTTATGCAGCTCAGCCACCTTCTCTTCCAGCTCCTTAGTCTGTGTGGGTGCAAACTGGAATTCACTAAGGTCAATATTGCCATGCTCTTCAGGGTCATGGTCCCCAAGTTCAGCCTGCAGTGTGTAGGATCCCAGGAGGGCATGAGTCACAAAAGAACAGGGCAGGCGGCCAGAGGCAATGTCCTGCCGAAGCTGAAGGCACAAGAAGTATCTGTGAGGAGCAGGGGGAGAAAAGGGTTGGAGGAGAACAATTAGTCCCGTTTGGGGGGCTTCTAGTCCTTAACTTTTAGTGTTCTTTTGAACACAAACACACAAGGGAGATACTTCATATCCATAGCAAAAACCATCTCCTCTGATAGGATGTCTCACCAGATACTTGGACTCCTAAACTTGTAGCCTATTTAAGGAGAGGAAGTCCAGAAGACTGCTTCCTGGAATGGAAATCTTGAACTCTTCTTTTGGCAATACTTGAACCATGATTAATATTACAACAAAGACTTTTGTGACTAAAGTAAAAAAAAAAAAAGTTCAACCATTTAAACTGTCTCCTTAGACTTAAAACTGTAATAAAAATTAGCACACACCCCAATAGCTGTAAAAATGAATGAAATTTTAAAAATAATTGCAATCTTAGTCATGTCCAAGAAAAGTTAATGTCACCCACTTTTTATCAGCTCTATACTCCTTACGCTAATTTCTTCCTATCCTGAAAACCCTTTAATAATAATCATTAAGCAAATCTCCACTTTGAAGCTTTTGCCCCTCCTATACCTACCCCACCTGGAAAGGTAACTTGCTTGGTTTTTAGGAAAGACATGGACTTTGCAGCCTGGAAGACATGATGCTATGTGACTTTCAGCAATAAGATTTATTAATATAAAACCAATCTCCTCCCTGTAGGATGGGAAGAACTTTACCTCCCCGATACTACAAATAAAATATCTGACATTATACCTGGCAATCAATAACTGGCAATGATTATAATTACTAGCCATGGCAATGACAGTTATTCTCATTCAATGTTCCATGTGGCTTATTACAAGCTGAAAAAGAATTTTTGTTTTCAACTAAATAGCATGCAGAAACATGTACTTTATATTCTCTGGGAAAGTTTTCTTTTCAGCCTCATTATCAATTCTTTTTGGTGACATTTTAACATTATTTCCACTCTCAAATTTCACGCAGACCCCTCTGAAGTAAATGGCTGTGCCCTCATTCTTGAAGATCTCTCAGAGACTGCGATTCCCACGGGCAACTGGTCACCTTTCTGTGGATATTTTTGCCCAGACCAGACTGAGTTTTAAGGCCCAATTCTCTTCCTGCTCTCTCTACTCCCAACACATTTCAAATGCAAGTGCTGGCCTCTGGTCCAGGCTTCCTTGTTGATTGAGTCAGATGACACATCCCATCACACCATGGCAGGGTAGTTCATCACCCGAATCTATCACAGGCAGGGCAGGGACTCTGTTTATCATCATCATCATCATCTCATCGTCATCATCATCTCACAGTGGGAAAAGTACTTTCCATAAGACAAGTACACAATGATTTTCTGAGAGAATAAAAGTCTTCTATTACTATAGTCTGGGTATTTTTATGCATTGCAAGAACTCTTTTTAAGGAGAATTATATTTCCTTTACCCCTCTGTGCCAGGAGAACCTAAGTGTAACTGCACTCACTTTTAGAATTACTTATTTGAAAGGCAGAATGACATAGAGAAGTAAGAGAGGCAAGGGAAGAGTGAGGGAGAGAGAGAGAGAGAGAGCGAGAATTCTTCCAACTGCTGGTTCACTCTCCAAATGGCTACAAGAGTTGAGAGTAGGTGAGGCAAAAGCCAGGAGCCAAGAGCTGCATCAGGTCTCCCACAGGGTTGGTAAAGGGCTAAGCACCCCTTTCTTCCCAAGCACAACAGCAGCGAGTGGAATCAGAAGCGGAGAGCTGGGGTCCAGCTGGCACTACTATGGGATGCCGTGTTGCAAGCAGTGCCTTAATGTGCTGTGCCACAACACCATGGCTGGCACTTACTTTAGAAAACTAAACTTTAATTCCAGGTTATCTTCAATTCCTAGTTTTCCATAGTTTATGGCACTTTTAGAACCTAACCACAAAGATTCCATCTTACTGCTTCTTCATATATTATTTTCTGTACCTCTCAGGTTGGTTCTTTCCTCAGTTTTCAAAGACTAAGTCTAAGCCCCCAGAACTCCAGATAAAAACTGGCAAGAGCTTCCTAAATTTACCAATGCCATCTTCTTCACAAAGCACGAGAAAGCATTTTTCAACACTATTCTGAATAATGCTCTTGCCCTCCTCAAAGCCTACCCTGCCTTCTAAATGTTCACTTCAGTTATGGGGACGATAGCCGTCACAGCATTCAGGCTACCAGATCATAAATACAGGCAAGTGGCTGGTCCCAGGCTGCAGCACTGATGCCTTCAGCTCGATCAGTAGACTTTATAGTTCCTTTCACCACCATGAGGGGGACTGTTTCAAGTCCTATTTCTATGAAAAAGCAACGCAGTTAGCAATGCTATACAGTGCAATCATCAAAGGATTATCATCCCCCAAACAAATTACTGTAAGGAATGTCCCTACAGAGAGGGCACTGGGTCACAACTACTGGCATGGGGCAAATTCACTCTTGCAGTGATGCTCTCCATCCCACACCCAGACCCCGTCAGGTTTTATGCTCTAGGCAGCTCACTGTGCGGTTACAAAAGCTAGAATTGATTATTAGCTGACGCTAATTCACTCAGAGCTTAATCAGTACATCAGAAGTAATTAATTAATACCTTAGTGCATTTCTATTCAGCAAGCAATAGTAAAGGAAGAAAAGTTTAAAAGGACTGCCATGTATCAGTATGCACTTTTTAAAGCATCTGCACAACTTGACGTCCAACAACAAAACTGGCCTAGCAGAAAGCATCAGAAGCACAGGAATCAGAGAGACAGAGCCTTTGCTAAGATCCACCAGTTTTCTCCAGCTACCTACACTGCAGTTGTCCTGGGCCATGTACGTAACCTTTCAAAATATGTATAAAATCACACTTTATACTTAATCTTACCAAAGCAAGAAATCCTATAAATGGTATTCAGTCAATGAGGCCTAAGATATCAAGGTGATATCATAATCTCCTTGGTTACCATTCAAATACTCAACCACTCTCAGAATCAACTGCTCTCTTACTCCTAAACTGAATTCTTTATTTGCAATTTAATCATCTGTTCCTTTAGCCTACATAATTTCAGAGGAGATGTAAATAAAACAGCTATTGACTCTCCATAAGAAAGTCTACCAAGTTAGTTGAGAGGACAAAAAATGACCATTTCAATTAACTTAAATTTCATTTATTTATCATTACATCATCTTTGCAATATGAAACTATGTATACACAGGCCCACATGAGCTATACAATTAAACCCAATCTTCATATTGAATCTTCATATTAAATGCCAGTGATTTTTTAAAGGAAACAAAGTTGTCAGCAATATATATTTTTATAATATTCCATTCCTCAAATATAAATGGATACAATAAAAGCAAATAAAATTTTTGAAACTGGCAACATTTCAAGCTATTTGGGAGTAATCATTTCTAACAAAACTTCTAAAACTTAATTCACACAATATTATTTTGGTTTTCAATACTGAAATTACCACTATGTTCTCCATTGGGCAGAAATGAGAGCTAAGTAAAGGTTCATCTTAAAATGTAATGATAAACTACCTGGTGATATCTTCTGTCAGTTGAGATGGATCAGGAGGATAAAACTTCACATTAAAAGTGAACAGCCAAGGAAGATCTGAAATTATTAAATATCAAAGTTATTCGCCCACACAGATGACTACTTATTTTGATATAATACAGAGTAATCTGACTAAAAAAGTCAGTTTGCAGAATTTTGTTTCTTAATTACTATTAGTATCACAAAGGGAAAACTAAATGACAAATAAAATACACACCCATTTCATAAATAACCCACCACCAAAGAATTCACTGGTTTTACAAACATTTATTAGTACTTCAACAAATGCTTTGTGTGGTGATTCATTATGCAAAAACTTTAATATACTCTCCTTACAACAGTTCTGAGACAGGACTTCTCAGGTTTCATAGAGGAGATGTAAGTATACTCCTACATAGCATATACTTCGCTGCACTGTGCCATCAAGAATGAAAACATTAAAAACTATGTCATAAATGACTTTTTAAAAAGTTAAAACACTGCTATCTATTTGTTAGCATTTAACTAATGTTTTGCTGTATCCTGTTCTGGATGGCTTAGAACAAGAAATAAAGAGGCTCAAATAATTACACTAGCCTGAATTTATATTTCTGCTCAAAAGGTATAGTATTTTTTAAATAAAAACAAAAATGTGTGTGTGTGTGTGAGTGTGTGTTTCTAAGTTATTCTACTTTATTCTATATATATTTGAAGGCCTCACAAGAGCTTTAATTTACGGACTTGACAAAGTTTCTTGAATCCCATTCTCTTGTTCAGTGCATCACTTTGTCTTTTTCTCAAATATTTACTAAATGGCTATATCAAACATGCATTTTAGCTGGATTTTGGCTCACACATCACTACTCCACTAACAAAGTCAATCCTGCGAACTCAAGAAACAGATGTCAGTTCTGCTCTACCTATTTAAAGCATACTAGTAGAATATAATATTTTCCTGAATATCAAGAGATATTATGCTGTTTCTTAGCCTGGGGCACCACACTGGCTGTGTCAAATATCCATGCAATGTGTATACATTTACACTTCTCTGAGGTGACTGCTAATCCACAATCAAGCAAAGCCATCATGGATTATTTCTTAAAAGCTTATTTGTTTTCTCAGCATTAACACTAGCATATGCTTGCCTAGATATGAGTATGGGCATACATTTCTGTGAGAACATCTATATTTTAGGATATATAACCAAATCTAAAAGTTGTTGAAATGCACCAATAATGTTATCTTTTAACTGATGAAACATATATATTTGTGGTGTAAAGTATGTTTTGAAATATAAATACACTGTAGAATAGCTAAGTCAAGCTAATTGATATATGCATTACCTCCCAAAGTTACCATTTTGGGGGCCTGGGAACACGTAAAACCTATTAAGTAATTTCCAAATTAAACTTTTGATTATATATTGTTATCCTAATTGTACCTAGACATATACAAAACAGTACAGCTGGCTATGGATTGTTTATGCATATTTATGACATGTAAGCCTTAGCTTTACAATTTTATTTGTGCACGTTGCGCGTTCCAGAAAACAGATTTGGCCCTTGTCTTAAGAAACTCAAAAAAGATTAACATGTACTTTTGCTAATTGTCTATTAACTGAAAAGTAACAATAAAATCACAGCAGAGACTGGGCTGGAATAGAACAAACAGTTCTTTCTTCCATTTTAAAACAAGCAGAAAGAGAGAGGAAAGAGGTAAAACATCACTTCCTAGGTCCACTTTTACGTTAGTCAGGAGACAGTACAGGAGGCCATTTAAAACTGGACCCAATAGTTTTAAAAAGTCTAATCCTATTTGTCACTGGTATTCCTCTTGCCAAACCACGAGGGCAAGTGTCCTGAAATAATTCTTTAAAAACTTCACAAATAATCAAAACTTAAGAATATGATCCATAATCAGCAATTCTTGCCTTTCATGTTTTCCCAACACATTATTTTAAAGTTTTCTTCCAAAAGCTTTGAAACTTTTTAAAATGTTTTATCTCCAAAAGGAGGTTTCTGAAAGTAAATATCCATAACTCTGAAATGAGTAGAACACACATAAACAGTAACAAAACAAAGTCATAGGAAACAACTCAACAAAACATCAATCACGGTTCAGAAGTTGTCCTTTTCTAGATTTGGGTCACTTGGCAGGAGTGCTTGTAGAGGAAGTCTAAGAACTAAGCATCCTTACACCTTGGTGAAGTCATGCCCTTTGCAGAGTGTGTAACAACTGCAGAAAGGACAAAGGGAGGATTCCAAAGCTTTCTGGTGCAGTTTCTTCCACACTATCAACATATGTAACTGTCTACTTAGTCCTTATCTTTTCCCCTTTTTGACCATGAAGCAACTATAAACGAATGAAACGCCAAGATAATAAATGCAAAAGAGGAAAAGGCAGGGAGAAAACGAGAGGTGGAAAGTCAGGAACAATACTCAAAAGACAGAGTGACCACCATGCCAGACTGCCTGGGACTGTCCCATTTCCTGAAAAACCCCGCAGGTCCTGGGCAAATCTGAAAGGGTGGTCACCTTGATCAAGGACATTTTTAAAAGGAAAAAAAATACATGCCTGGAATTAAAAAGTAGAGTAGAAAAAGAAAGAAATGATAGGAAGATGACCAAAAAGAATAGTAATTCAAGACAGAAAAAAAAAAAAAAAAAGAAAAGAAAAGAATGTGGAGAACCTAAAATGGGAGACAGAAAGCAGATAGAACAAGAAGCACAGCTTTGTTCCAGTGTTTGAACATTAGGAATAAGTAGGGAAATGAAATCAATAGAAGAGGGAATTCTGCAGGTTGGTTCTCAAGGAAATGGCTTCTCCCTGGACAATTCAGTCTAGATGAACCGTTAGGAATTTACCACTCTTCAAATTCTGCTCTCCAGTCTAAAACTTCCAGCTGTTCATGTCTCCCTACTTCCTCCTCCTCAGTCACTGACAGACCCTAAAGTAAATGAAGTATCAGATCCTATACTTGAGATTTCTCTGGGGTAATAATGTTTCCTGGCACAGATGTGTTGGAGCCAGCCACAGGCAAGGCAACCTGCAGAGGCAGAATTTAGGAAGGGAAATGAAGGTGCTTAGAGTGGGACACTAGACATCATTTTGGAATTCTACAGCAAGAACAAACTGGCAAATGGGAAGAACAAGACAAGCTGGACTAACTACAACGCTAGGCTCCAAGAACATGTACAACAACCTCAGACTGCAGCGAAGGAAGAGCCCAGAAGGCAGTGACCTGGGAGAAGTGAAAATACTGTTCTGCCCGCTCCTCATCCTCAGAAGCCCAGCTCCAGTACATCTGTAACCATCAGCTGAACACCTCTGGGGACTGAGAGATGCTAAGCAAGGAAACAAACTACACATTTCTAAAATGAAATGGGCAAAGCAACAGTATTAGGCCTACCACGGGTAAAATTTATATAAAAAGTGAAACTTATTTTAAAAAGGCAGATTTTCATTCTTTCCCAGAAGAAAAGCTCAGATGTCACATAACTGTGGCAGACAGTGTAAGGGAATATTTAGGAACGTGAGTCTAAAAGAATCTCCTGAAAGGTAGGAGTCTCGAAGCCACACAGAAAATAAACAGCTGTGATTCCACAAATATATTATTGACATTACTAACTTCTCAGACAGTATAAATAAAACTAGAACTGATCATTCCTTCATATCATGTTAGCTATTCTGGTCTATAAATTTCATTAAAGACAGTAAGACATAGATGTAAAGATTAACTTAAAATTTTTAAAGTATGATTATTTAAATACTCACTTCGAAGTTGTCTCTTTATTTCTTTTGCAGGATCTAGCCAGTTCTGCATGGGGAGGAAAAAAGTTTAATTTCCATAAGAAATACTTCAGAGCTCAAAATGGAACACAGTTTCAATTTACTTTTTTAAGCGTAAACATATTTTAATATAGTCCTGTTCAAAGCAGCTTTCACCTATTAGCATTCTACCAGGCTACAATTGATTTGCTTTTGAGTGTATATGTGTGTATGTGTATGTGTTAAAAACAAAAATATGCAAATAGTTTTAAAGTGGATCCTGAGGGCTGCATTCTCTTGGGTCTACAAACAGTATGAAACACAATGTATCTACACACAATGTTTATAGAAGAACTGCCAGCAAACAGCCTCTAAGGACACTGAATTGACAGTTCTTTCATGACTGGTCCAGTCCATAGTCAAGAAGAATTAAATTGTGAAAAGGAAACTATTGGCTAAAAATCTATTCACCGCAATTGAACACAAGTATCTTAAATTCTAAAGCCAACTCTTCCTTTCCCTTTGCCTCCCTTTTTTTGGTAACTGTATGATGCTAAGGAGGAGTACTGTCACATCAGATAATATTTTCCTTCCTGAACTTAATATAGCACCTTCTTTCTTTTTAACCTAATTCCAAGCTCGAAATCACAATCATAAGGAACTCCTTTTCACTCCCCCACCATTTCAACCCATTGAGAAAACCAACATAAAAACGTGCTGGGAAACCACTGTAACACTTTTAAACAAACAAATTTAGACCACTAGATAAGAAAGCATCTATGGGCATTGAATATTTGTCTTTCAAGGCTGTAAGCAAAAGAGCCACACAAAAAATCTAATATTTTTGTTTGCATTTTTATACTTCTCCCATTCTATATTCATCATTACTAAAGTTTACCTTTATCTTCACTAACAAGTAGTTTTTGAGATAAAGAAGCCAACTCAAATAATGACTTTACAATAAATTTTATTCACTCTATTAGGTATTCCAAATAGTACATTAAACATCTGTGCCGAAATAAAATTTCATTCAGACATATAAATAGCAAACAAAATGTTTACTGTCACACAGAAAATAACCATCACCTACTGTCTTAACAATATATTGAAATGGTACAACAGAACACGATCTTACACTATTAAAAAGTACTAACAACATGATGCTTTGAAAGCAGAGTTGCATGGACTCCTTCAGATTTCGCCACGCTGTTCATGGCCCGCACTCAAGGCAGCAAGGATCTAAGGTGCGCATGGTTCTGTCCTAACACTGGTTATATTCAGACCACTCAGTAAAGAGCTGCCAGAGCCTGCTCTAGTTTCACATTACTGGTGTCCCAGCTGCATGAGCCACTGATGTGAAAGGCCAGTGGGACCCTGTAATGGTACCTCCAGTGCTATGTTAGGGAACAGCTCTAATTCTCCCCTCAGAAAAGAGCTTGGCATTCAGCCTCCATGCCCTGCAGCTGCTGTCCCACACAACAGCTGGCTCACAAATGGCCAGCTATGAGTGCACAAGAATGAGAAAAACAGATCATTCAGTTTCTAGCCCAGACTGGACAAGCTGGAGAAGAGGTGAAGAAGGGTCAAATGGGTGGCATTTCCATCCAAGGAAGTTAACTACCACAGCAAGAAAAACTGAATCAAAGACAACTGGTGTCAAACTGAAAAGAAAACAAAAATAAATCCCCTGACCATTAACAAGGAGAAAGAAGAGAATAGCAGGAAAACTGCTGGTGTCAAAGGCAGGTTTCCTAAATCCCCAGTTTCAGTGACAACTGATAAAGCTGCCTGCTACATAAGAACCATAAACAACCCACCTGCTCCAGAAGATGGTAGAAGCAGCCTCATCTGTGTTCCCTGCCATCTGGTGCCTTCTCCTCTCACCTAGAGCACCAACCCCTATTACCAGAGAGTTGCTGCAGAGCAGGAGAAGGGTCAAGAGAGCTCTCCAGATCCAGAAACAGGAGTGACAAGTCAGCCAGCCAAATTCAGATTCAGTTTCATTCTTGGGCCACTTTCTACCACCTTGTCAGCCAGAACACTGAAGGTTAAAGTGGCTTCTTATCAGACCCTCATAAGAAAGACTAAGTAGCAGAATTTAGCCAATGCGATCAAGCAGCAGCCACAGAGATGACTCCTTCCAATTGCCAACATGACTTTGTGCTCTGAACTACACTACTTCCACACTGTGCAAGCTCCATTCCTGCCAAGAAGTGTGGTTGTCTTCCCGTTTTCTAGGACTACAACTTTGCAAGAGCTGTGTAGACCACATTTTCCACATCATCCAGGGTACTTGGAAGTTTGGGGCCATTGGTAATCCCCTAATTAGTGCCTGTTACCAAAAAAAGCTACACTTGATTACTTCCTCTCTATGCTGTGGTCATCTTAAAACATCACAAGTTATATGATTTTTATTAGATTTTTGTTTTCTTTGAATAAAACATTCATTTGAATAGTTATCTCTAATGAGAACTTAAGATCACATAAACTCAGATAATATCCACCTTTTCTAAAAAGCTGCCCTACTATAGTGAAGATTGTTCTTGGAACAGAGACAAGACACAAATAACAAAATGTTCTCATGAAAATAATGAGAAGCGGAGCCAGCACTGCGGTGTAGTAAGTTAAGCCTCTATCTGTAGCGCCAGCATCCCCCACGGGTGCTGGTTCATGTCCCATCTGCCCCTCTTCGGATTCTGCTCTCTGCATATGGCCTGAGAAGGCAGTAGAGGATGGCCCAAGTGCTTGGGCCCCTGAAACCAGTGGGAGACCCAGAGGAAACTTCTGGCTCCTGGCTTCAGATCGGCCCAGCTGAAGCTGTTCCAACGATTTGGGGAGTGAACCAGCAAATTGGAAGACCTCTCTCTATACCTCTTTCTATCTGTAACTCTGCCTCTCAAATAAATAAATAGATCTTTAAAAAAAAAAAAAAAAAGAAGGAGAGAGAGAGAAAGAAAGAAAATAATGGGCAGTATGACTGGTCTAAGTGCTCTGACATACAATTAAAGTAGTATCTAGCTAAGACTTTCTAAGTTTTACCTGATCAGAAGGATCTATCTGGCACATGTGTTAAAAGATTCTTTTATTGCCTAGCAGCATACATTCATAAGAACAAACAAAAACATACTTAATATAACTTGAAAAAGAAATGCAACTTTACTGTGTGCATTAGAAATTACACATATGGAGCAGACAAAAAATTTTTTAATAAATAATAAAAACAAACTTCTTGGGTGTGATATTTAAAAAGAAGGAGTGACACAAGAAGGAAAATTATATCAGAGAATGAGCTAAATACATGTGGACACATATACAGACACATCTACCTTCCACCCCAGGGCAGATGACAATGTATCATCACCATGCTTTAGATGTAAAGATGTGGCTGCTACAGTCACATGTACAGACTTTGGGATCAGAAACACATGGAGTTAATTGTCTTTCCATCAACTCTCTGGATTTGGGCAGGTTTGGGCACATTCTTTGGCTCCTTTGACCCTTCATTTCCTCAAATGCAAGGAGGAATCACAATATCTACGTCATAGGGTAGTTCTTTTCAACCAGTAATTTATTCAAATGCTTCTTGAAGAGTAAATATTTTAGGCACTTTATGATAGTATCTTTAACATCTTTTTTGTAACTAAATAATTTTATCACCTTTAGATATTTCTTCACATAACAATATTCTCAAAGGTGATGTGCCAAATAAAGAATTTGATATGGCTATTTAGTATATTCATACCCTAAGAAAGATAAGTCAGGCGTCAGGTTCACAAAATGTAGTTGTTACACATGGGTCAGATCAAATAAAAATCACACCCCTTTTCCTTAGAGAATACTGGCAGATAATGGCTGCCTTTTTTATAAAGCTGTCCTAGTAGAGTGAAGATTCTTCCTGGAAATAGAGATAAGCACAAGTGACAAGATCCCTTCTCACTAAGACACTGAGCAGGATGGCTGGTCTAAGTGTTCTGCTGTGCACGTAAAGTATTATCTAGCTAAGTGTTTCTAAGTTTTGTCTGACGAGGAGGATCTACCTGGCACACGTGTTAACAGAGAGATGCATCCATGGTCCAGATGGCACTTTCTGAAACACTCTCCAGGGAAGGGGCCTAAGAACATCAATGTTAGGGTCCTTTCCAGTTAATTCTTGATGAGGCAAACAGGGATTTTCTCAGTGTTTCCCAAACTTCAAAGTATAAGCAACAAAGCAAAAGTAAAACTCAGCTGAAACCCATGTTAGATCTCAATTTTAGAAAGTTTAAAGGTTTATTTATTTATTTAATTGAAATTCAGAGTTAGAGAAAGAGGGAGATCAGAGAGAGACTGATCTTCTGTCTACTGGTTTACTCTCAGATGGCCGTAAAGGCCAGGGCTGGGCCAGGTTGAAGCCAGGAGCTTCACTCAGGTCTCCCATGTGGGTTCAAGGGCGCAAGCGTTTGGGCCACCTTCCACTGCTTTCCCAGGTTCTGGAACAGAAGTGAAGCAGCCGGGACTCAAACTGGCATCCATATGGGATATTGGTGTCGCAGGCAGAAGCTTAACTGGCTGTGCCACAACGCCAGCCCCAGATTTCAATAAAATTTATCTTGGCTTATTAAAGTAAAATGCATTTCTTGAGCAACTTAAGGTGGGGATATTCACTGATTCAATCTGCTAATTTTTTTCACATCTTTCTCTGTGTACACCTCTCCACATCCAAAGTTTCAACTCAGTACATATTTATCTTCTACATGAATATCAGGTACACAGAAATTAATAAGCCATAACAGGCTTCCAAAAGAAGTTAACTAAAATGAAGTTGCGCTCCTAGAATGTCAGAGGGCAATAAATTCAAATCAGGGGGAAAAAATGTTCCATTTTTTTTTTATTTTCACTTAACATCTAACTGAAACTTAGCCTTATTTATTGGCTTTCTCTACAGCCCCACTTAAAATGCCGTGCTGAGAAGCAGCCTACAGAATTCACCACTGCCATGACAAGTTTGCCTCGGTGGAGGCAGAGCTTTTGGGCAGTGCTTAGGATATGGTCTCCAGGGTGCAGCCCCAT